TCGGAGCTCTTTTCCTTGGGAAAAACTAAATGGGATAGAATGATGTGAATCATCATCCATTCATATTGAAGAGATGTCTCCTTACTCCTTAGTCTTGCTGGATTCATATTTATAATGGTAACATGCTCATCATGTAATGCTTGACCAGATGGGGAATGGAGAAAACCTGGGGGTAGTCTCGGCAAAGATTGGTTCATTGCTTCCAGGATAGCAATCCAGCCTATGTCCCCAAGCCTCTCTAGCATAGCCCAATCAACATAATAATGTGATAAGGGCTAAAGTTATACGAATGTAGCGATCCACTTTCTTGGCGGGATTGAGCCAGTTCACTCTTTTCTTGGCGAGAGATAACCAGAGGGAATTCTTTACTAAACAATGCTTGCCTTATTCCATTAACACTCCAGCTTATAAGCTGCTCACTCATAACAAGGAAGACTAAAAATCAGGACTCTAACTTCACATCCCGCCTATCGTGGGAGTGCTTTATTCTCCTAACAACATTCCAACGTTAAACAACCAAATAACAATAAAACAAACATTCCTATTCTACTGGCAAGCAGCTGCAACGGATCCACCCATCGTGGATTACTCATGCGTGTAGCGGGGATTGGGATGATGGGCTCGGGCCGAGCGTCGTGGGCCGGACGTAGCACTTGGTGGTTCATCAATACCCCCCGGTTGAACACTGGACTCGTCCTCGAGGCCAAGATGGACGAAGCGGTCGTTGAAAACTGAGGCGATCTCCCAAGTGGCCTCCTCGGCGGGAAGCTGGTGCCATTGGACAAGGAGTTCCTCGACCCAACGATTGCCATGGCGGGTCCAGCGTGTGTCCAAGACTGCTCTAAAAGGAGCAGGAGGTCGCCATCATCGCCGACGGGTGGTGACACCGTGGAAAGAGCAGGGTTGGGCGTATGACAGGGCCGCAGCAGCGAGACATGGAACACGGGGTGGACACGGCTGCCCGGAGGAAGGGCTAAGCGATAGGCAACCGCACCGATGCGCTCCTCGATAATGTAAGGCCCAAAGTAGCGGCAAGCGAGTTTTTGGGAGGCACGACGGAAAACGGATTGCTGCCGGTACGGGTGAAGCTTCAAGTAAACAGGGTCGCCCACTTGAAACTCGACATCGCGACGGCCGGCATCAGCATACTGTTTCATCCTATTGCGAGCAGCGGCGAGGTTGGTATGCAGATCGGTGAGGACGGCATTGCGGTCGAGGAGGGCCTGTTCCACCTCGTGCACCGGCGTGGATCTCATGCGATAGAAGGGAATCGGTGGAGGGGGTCGCCCATAGACTGCCTGAAATGGGGTCATGCCGGTAGAGCTGTGGAAAGTCGTGTTGTACCAAAATTCGGCCCAGGGCAAGAAGGACAGCCAACGTCGGGGATTTTGGCTAGCGAAGCACCGGAGGTACTGCTCAAGACAGCGGTTTACGACTTCGGTCTGCCCATCCGTCTACGGGTGGTAGGAAGACGACATTTGTAATTGTGTGCCGGATAGCCGAAAGAGCTCGCGCCAGAAGTTGCTGGTGAAGGCGCGATCGCGGTCGCTAACAATCGAACGGGGTGGCCCATGGAGTTTCAGGACGCCGTGTAGAAAAACATCGGCCACTCATCGCGCGGTGTAGGGATGCGACATCGGCATGAAGTGGGCCGCCTTGGTGAGGCGATCTACCACGACGAAGATCACCGTTTTGCCTCCGGAGGATGGAAGACCATCGATAAAATCCATGGAAACATCTTGCCATACTTGAGATGGGATCGGGAGTGGTTGAAGGAGGCCGGCAGGGGCGAGAGTCTGCGCCTTGGCCCGTTGACATACATCACACGCGCGAACGAAGCGCTGTACGTCTTCCAGCATCCCGGGCCAATAAAACTGAGAGGACAGACGCTTGTGGGTGCGTTCCACGCCAGAGTGGCCGCCCATCGGCGTGGCATGAAACTCATGAAGGAGTTGTGCGATGTGGCCGGAGTTGGGAGGGACCACGACTTTGCCGCGACGGAGCAGTAGGTCGTTGCGGATGGAAAAGGGGCCTGGCCGGGAGGAATTTGCTCGTCGCCGTGCCTGCATCATGTAAGGGTGAGTAGCAGCCGTTGCTTTGAGGGAGTCCCAGAGTGCCGTGAAAGGGATGGAGATTGCCATTAATAGAGAATCGTCCTGGCGCCGCCGACTAAGGGCATCGGCCGCCTTGTTCTCTGGGCCGGGTTTGTAGACAATATCGAAGTCATAGCCCAGTAGCTTAGCAATCCATTGCTGCTGGTCGGGTGTGGTTATACGCTGGCCCAACAGGTGGCGGATGCTCTTTTGGTCTGTGCGGATAGTGAATTTGCGGCCCAACAAGTAGGGTCGCCAAGCCCGAACAGCAGTGATCACAACCAGCATTTCCTTCGCGTACGTGGATAGGCCCTCCTTTGCTTTGCCGAGACCGCGACTGAAATACGCTATGGGCCGGTCTCGTTGCATCAACACTGCGCCAAGTCCAGAACCCGATGCGTCCGTTTCAACGATGAATGGGATACTGAAATCCGGGAGAGCAAGGACGGGCGTGGTGGACATGGCTTGTTTTAGAGCTTGAAATGCTGCTGCCGCCGTATCGGACCACTCAAACTGGCCGCGTTTGAGCAGATTAGTAAGAGGGCGAGCGATGGTGCCGTAATCCTTCACGAATTTGCGGTAGTAGCCTGTTAACCCGAGGAATCCGCGGAGTTCGGTGCTGTTCATCGGCGTTGGCCAGTCAACCATGGTGGCGATCTTCCGGTTATCGACTCGTACCCCCTCGGCCGATATGAAATGGCCGAGATATTCAATGACGGGCAGGCCGAAAGCACATTTGCTAAACTTGACAAAGAACTTGTGATGCCGGAGGATTTGGAAAACCTGGCGCACATGGTTTAGGTGACTTGCCTCGTCCGGGCTGTAGATCAGGATATCGTCGAAGAATGTGAGAACCGACTTGCGGAGTAAGGGTCGGAAAATCTCGTTCATAATGGCCTGGAACGTTGACGGGGCGTTGCAGAGACCAAATGGCATCACTAAATATTCATAGTGACCATTATGGGTGCGAAAAGCAGCTTTGGGGATGTCGTCGGTGGCCATGCGAATCTGGTGGTAGCCAGCTCGCAAATCCAGTTTCGTGAAAGCATGATGCACCATGAAGTTCATCCAACATGTCGTCGACGGTAGGAATTGGGAAGCGATCTTTGACGGTGACCAAGTTAAGCGCCCGATAATCCGTACAGAAGCGCCAGGTGCCGTCTTTCTTTTTTACCAATAGGAACCGGAGAGGAAAAGGGACTGGTCGATGGCCGAATGAGTCCCGCCGCTAGCATCTGGTTGACCTGAGTTTCGATCTCTGTCTTCTGGAAATGGGCGTAGCGATATGGACGAACATTAACTGCTTCCGCGCCCTGGTTTTAATGTAATCTTGTGATCGATCGTTCGCTTTGGCGGTAGTTGGTGTGGCTCCTCAAAAATATCCCCAAACTCGCGAATAAGGGCTTGGAGCTCCGGAGGCACTGGGCGCAAGGGATCGTCGTTGTTGATCGGTACGCACAGGGCCATCATGGTATGTTCCTCCTTAATGAGGCATTCAAGACTTGCGTCGGCCGGGGGAGCTCTTTGGATGCCTTGAATCTTCCTCAATTTGCCATCCCAAAAGAATTCCATTTCCTAGTGATTTCCAGTTGCTTTGGACGGTGCCGAGTGTGGCCAGCCAATGGATGCCCAAAACAATGTCAAACCCAGATATGGGAATGGTATGAAGATCCACTTTAAAGTCGGTACCTTGGACACGAAGAGGGACTTGCTCAAGTTTGCCAACGCACTCTAACGGCGTACCATCGGCAATTCTGACGTGAATAGCTGGAATAGAGGATACCGGCAGGTGTAACAAGTTGGTGGCGCGGGTGCTGATGAAGTTATGCGTCGATCCGCTGTCGATGAGGACCATTAATGGGGCGCCGTGAATCTCAGCCCATACCCTCATCGTTCGGCCGCTTGTCAACCCCGTGATCGCATTAAAGGATACCTCCGCTTCCTCTACTTCTTCATCATCCTCGTCCCACATCATCCATAGCTTGCCTCCTTGACACCGGTGAGTGGCGGAGTAAGGAGCGTCACAATTAAAACAGAGGACCCAATTGGCGGCGGCGGTGCATTTCCTCGTGACTGAGTCTCTTCGATCCTGGTGGTCGTGGGCGGTAGTTCGCTGCCGCGGCTGGGGGAGGATTCGGCACAGCCTCTGCTGCCTGGAATGGCCGCGGTCGAGGGGCAAAGGACGCGTCAAAAGTCGCACGCGGCTTGGGTCGGGGAGGCGTCATGTAATCCAAAGCAGAACTGGTACGGCTGGCGGGGCGGACTTTGCTGGCGGTTCAATTGTTCCTCGCGCGCCCGTGCAAGGCTGATCGCGTCCTTGAGGGTCTTGGGGTCGAAGATCCGGATCCCGTCGGAGATGGCGGGTTTGAGACCGCCTAGGAAAGTGCCTACGAGTGCTTGCTGAGTCCAACCTCGAACCCGGTTACCTAACCGTTCAAACTCGGTGAGGTAATCCTTCAAAGACCCGGTTTGGCGGATCCGAGAAAGCGCCTCGTCGAATCCGGTGCCTGCTGTGCCGCCGAATTGTGACCAGAGCTCGGACGAAAAAACATCTCAGGTGATGGTGAGCTCCTCCGCTTGATATGTTCGTCGTAGCCATTGCCACCACTGATTTGCGTCACCCTCTAAATGATAGGACGCCAGCTTTGACCTTCTGATCCTCGGGAATTTCCTGGAACTCAAAGAATTGTTCCACTCGAGAAAACCAGACCGTCGGATCATCACCGGAGAAGGATGGAAACTCGAGGCGAGCGAGCTTCGCGCCAAAGATTGGCTGTTTGCCACGGTCATCATGTTGTGTGTGGTAGGAGCCGCCGTTGACGGACTTGTCGCCTTCCTCCGACATCGGAGGCGCGTTCTTGGCCGCGGTGGCTTGGGCGAGTTGCGTCATGGCTAGCTGAAGGGCAGCTAGCTGATCTTGGATGGCTTGGAAGTTTTGCTGGTTGTTGGTTTCGACGGCTTCGAGAGCCTCGATCCGCTGAGCGTGGGTGCCCATGCCGGGCTCTGATACCAGATGATAAGGGCTAAAGTTATACGAATGTAGCGATCCACTTTCTTGGCGGGATTGAGCCAGTTCACTCTTTTCTTGGCGAGAGATAACCAGAGGGAATTCTTTACTAAACAATGCTTGCCTTATTCCATTAACACTCCAGCTTATAAGCTGCTCACTCATAACAAGGAAGACTAAAAATCAGGACTCTAACTTCACATCCCACCTATCGTGGGAGTGCTTTATTCTCCTAACAACATTCCAACGTTAAACAACAAAATAACAATAAAACAAACATTCCTATTCTACTGGCAAGCAGCTGCAACGGATCCACCCATCGTGGATTACTCATGCGTGTAGCGGGGATTGGGATGATGGGCTCGGGCCGAGCGTCGTGGGCCGGACGTAGCACTTGGTGGTTCATCATAATGCTCCCCCAATGGAAGGTTCACATAGAATTTGTAAGCCTTCTGAGCTTGTTCGAAAATTGAAGAAATGGATGGTCGACGATTTTGGAACAGCTTTGGACTTCCCCATCCTGAGATGATAGCTAACAAATCAAGATACTGCAGCTATAGGGCTAACCCATAATTGGCAATAGTAGCTTACTCAAGCCATACCCCCGCACTTGGAAAATAATAATGCCCAAATGAGTAAGAAGATTAGCCTAGAAAGTTACTCAGTAAGAGCATATGGCAACAACAAGAGTGCCCCCAAAAGAGCAACGAGTCGCATACTCTGGGCATTTCATCAAACATCTGGTGGGTATGCAAGATAAGCTTATGAAGTGCAAGAATGAGCCCCTTTCACACACCCCCTAAAAGAATGAGATTTCGCTCATTACCTATCTCATCCTCACTTCAACCCTAACCTACTTTGGAACCCAAAAAATCTCAAGTTTCTCACAAGCAAGAATGAACATGTAGGCACTAACCTGGAAGTTAAGTGCTGAAACGCTCAACGTTCGAGGTCCCAGGTGATGTGAATCTGCTCAAGAAAAATGGAACGAGAGTTTGGTGCAAAGTGTTCGTGGGAGAAGAGGGAAAATATGGACGGGATGTGGTTGTTGATTGGGTTGATGGACAAATTGCCTACTTAAAGAGTCTAAATGTGAATATGTAATCCTTTACGGTTGAATAGTCTTTTCTCTCTCTCTCTCTCTCTCGATATCTCAATAAGCATTTCGAGCAGTTTAAATGTTTAATTAGTGAAGCAAATACAGAGAAGTACAAGGATCTGCTTCTGCTTCTTTAAAGTTTTTGCTCAAAAGAATACAATTGATGGAAAAAATCCCAAAATACTCTACCTATTAAAAAAAATTCCTCAAATACAATACTTATAAACTTTTTACCCAAAATACAGCAGTTTCAGCATCATTGTCTTTGTCCAAGACAGTGATGAAGATCACCGCTTTGATAAAAAACGGGGAAGGTATCACCGCTTTTGAGTAAAGCGGGGATAATATCACCGCCTTCGACCACAACAGTGATTGCTTCACCGCCTCGGACAACAACAGTGATAGCTTCACCGCTTTGGACCACAACAGTGATCACATCCCCGCCTTTTACAAAAACGGTGATAATCGATCTCTTCACCGCGTTTATGCGAAACGGTGATAACATCGCGGTGGTCAAAAACGGTGATAATTGACCACGTTTTTCTACCCTGGTAGGTGAAAAATTAGGTCACAGCGACCTAGCTATCACCGCTTTGGACAACAGCGATGATGTGTTCACCGCCATTGTCCAAAGCGGTGATTACCAGCCATTTTTTCCTATAAATTCCAAACGCCTCTTCCTTCCTGCTGCTGCCTTACAGCAACCAAATAGAACAAACCCTGTTTTTTTAGTCGGTTTCTCAGCTGGTTTGGAGTTGGTTTACTGCTCAAGAAACTCGTCGGGATTCGGTATGTTAGAATTATGTATTGTTTACATTAATTTGTTTATATATATAGATTAATTATGATATGATAGATGTTAGTTAGTTAGTACTGAATTTAGATTAATTTGTTTAGTTTTCTCATGATAGATCGGGATTGAGTATGTTATAAGTATGTATTTTTTACATGTTGAGCTGTTAGTATGAATATGTCTGTATTTAGTGAATCGCGGTTATTGGAAAATATGTTATGATATATTTAGATTAATTATGATATGATAGATGTTGGTTAGTTGGTACTGAATTAGATTAATTTGTTTAGTTTTCTCATAATAGATCAATTAGTTGCATTTTATTATGGGTTTGTGGTGTTTTTGTATCCATAATGTACTAATTGTATACTATACTTAATTATTATAAATTGCAGACATGGGTAAATTTAAGAAGTTTCGGCTTATTATTTATTGGAATGGTCGGGTGACAAACTCGAACATTGGGATCGACTATGAAGATGGCGAATCCAGTATGCTTACAATTGAGTCGAGATTCTCGTGGCAAGAACTCCATGACAGGTGTGCAGAAAGGACTTGTACGGGCGGGCATATGAGAGTTCGTCAAATTACTTACCGGTATCCCAACATGAGTGCTGACGGAGCATATTTAACCACATGCCTTGTATCCACCGGTTTGACTTGTCGGGGAACAGAAACCCACCAACCAAGGCAATTAGGTAGACACGTGCATACCGCTCCACCTGATCTTCAGGAGTATCCGGGCCTATATTAACCTCCATCTGGATGTGGTCAACAAGCCACGGGATCGATACTTGCCCCGCATTCAGTGGTGGATGCCCCTGACCTTCGACGGGCGTGGTGGTCGGCATGTTGAACCCCAGACGTTCCTGAATCAATGGACCCCAACCATCTTCTGGTTTTCTCGAGTTGTCGATGATGGCATCTCCGGTGATCGGGAGCACGGTGAGGATGGCAACATCTTTGAGGGTGATCGTCATTTCACCCTCGGGAAAGTGGAAGGTATGCAGCTCAGGGCGCCATCGCTCTGCCATTGCCGTCAGCAGATCGTTGTCAATATCAAGCCTCATAAAGTGCCTCAAATTGTGCAATCCCGCCCTCTCTAGATAGGGATGCAGTCGAGGATGCCAACGGGGCAATCGACATGTCCCTCGATGACTGATGGGAATAAGTGATTCCTACAAAACAAAAAACACAATATTGTCAGTCAATAGAAAGCAAAATAAAAACTTAGAAAGCAAAATAAAAACTTTAAAACTATTGAAATAATTTTAGTGTGTCTACCGGATTATTGTTCCAAATTGAACGAGAGCGATGTTGATCTTGCCCGGTTAAATACCTTCGATCCCTTGGGCCAGGATCGATATACAATCTAGGGTCGTATATCTCAGCACCCATCTATAAAAAAATATGAAATCAAATCAATTTAAATTTTAGCACCCATGTAAAAAAAAATCACAAAAGAACCAACCAAATTTACGTACTCTCAAAGCCTCTTCGTCCATTTTTTGCCGAAAAGCTAGCGAGAGTATCGACAAAACAACAAAACAAAAACTCTAGTAATTCTTTCTGATGCGGAAGATCGGACTTAGCCGCAACCACAGAGCATACTTAGAACGAAACTAGAGTTAAGTTGGAGGGAGAAAGAAGTATAAAATTTGGTGGTGTGGTTTGGAATGAGGGGGGGGAGTGGTATTTATAGGGGGGAAGGGAGGGGAAGGAGGCGCTGGAAATTTAAAGCGGCCAATCACCGCTTTCCTCGCCTGCAGTGACAACACCGCTCCAGTCAAAGGCGATGATGGGCGGATCGCTGACGTGGCGAGGCGTGAGGCGTCGGATCGTGGAGAAAAACCACAATCCGCGCCTCACCGCATCGAACGGCAGCGGTGAAGGGCGCGGATGGCGCGGATCGCTGACGTGGCGGGGCGGGGCTATCACCGCCTTTGTCTTACGCGGTGAAGTCCCCGCTCCTCGCCACGTCAGCGATCCGCGCCAACTTCACCGTTTTGAATATCAACGGTGATAAGGCTTCACCGTTTTTCTTATCAACGGTCAAGCTATCACCGCGTTTGTTTAGGGCGATGATAGCTTCACCGTTTTGGACAAAAACGGTGATAGCATCACTGTTGTTGTTTAAAGCGGTGATACTATCACCGTTTTTGACCAAAACGGTGAATACCATCACTGTCTTGGACAAAGACAGTGATGCTGAAATTGCTGTATTTTGGGAAAATTTTTTATAAGTATTGTATTTGAGGAATTTTTTTTAATAGGTAGGGTATTTTGGGATTTTTTCCACAATTGATTGCCCCTGTTACCTTTACTTGTCGGGCTTTTTATTTTGGTTTGGCTAATGTACAGCGATACATTACATTTAGTTAGGGTGACATCCATCTACTACCAAAATTCATTGTCAGAAAAATATAATTTCTCGTCATTATCAACTTTCAACACAAATGCCAACTTTCAACAAATGCTAATAGAGAACGAGCAGCTTAGGTACCCGTTATTTACTTGCATTGTTGCAATTAGCAAAAGTTACTTCACAAATTGTACAATTGGAGGCCACATAACCAGCAGAATCGAAATCAAAACACTCAACAGTTGGGCACGCAGAATGTTTTTACTTGTGCAGTACACTCTTCTTTGAAGCCTTGGGCTTCTTCTGATGGTGGCTCTGCAGGTAAATGGGCATGACACGTATCAGCATGCCAAAAGATAGTATATCTGGTCTTTAAGAAATCAAGTAAGCCTTTACCTTGGGTCTCCCTAATGCATCGTAGTCTGTCCTCTCCTTCCAGTTGCTTTTGCGTAGTTTGATGGGACGATTGCCAACATATTTACCTGCAGTTGATGTCAAGCCTGGACTAATCAGAACAGTAAATGGAGATGGAGAATAGCAGATTATGAGATGCAGGACTCATAAAATTCCCGGTCGAAGCCCCATCAATTGGCATTCAACTGTTACCAACTCACCATTCATCTCCTTTAAAGCTGCAGCAAGGTCTGTAGGATTAGAAAAGCTCACAAATCCATAGCCCTTTGTCTTCCCAGTTCGCTTGTCTCTCACGACCTAGGGAATCACACATTTAAGAGAAAGTCATGATCCAAGTAAAATTGAAATCAAAGAGCAATTCACATAACAAACCAAGAGCTCAAGGAAAAGCATGAGGATAGGAACAAAGTGATCCTCTGCATAACAGAGGGTGGAAGAGAGAACAATTCCCCATACATAGTCTGAAGTGGCACAAACCTCATATAAAGGGGGGAAACACGCTATGACTTTAAAAAAAAGTGCCAAAGCAATTAACTGAGAGATCACTAGATCTAAACTGAAATTCAATCCTAAAAAGAATGGAAACTTGTTGATTTAACACTGGAAAATGTCCCAGCTGTGTCAGAAGTAAACAGATTCAACTCGGTTCAAAACCAACCATAGGCAAGGTTCAATAGTTACATTAAAAACTGTGGAAACAGAAAATGGATAAATCCATCAAGGAAGGATCAACGAGAACCACCCACGTAACATTCTAACGAGTTCCCAATCTTGCCCAACTAGATCACATCAATTCTGCACGAGAACTAGCCACTAGTACACTGAACTATCCACTCAAGGTCCAACTTTTTGATTCCTGATGTTGTCCATATTCAATTCAAATAGGCAAAGCGAAACTTAATCTATCTCGGAATTGTTAGATCTACAGAACCAACTTCTAGACTTCGTAGCACCTTATGAAACAAAAATACCAAAAGAATTATAAAGGCCAAATGTCTGATCACCCAATGGAGATGAAGAATGCTAAATGCACAAGAAAATATAGAAGGGGGAGGGGACATTCCTTGGCAAAATCATATGGCTAACTACTAGATAGATGGTAAGTAACAGCCTACCTTAACATACAGAACAACTTAGTCTGTCAGCTTCAAACAAACATCTGAAGAGGACATGCACACAGTTCATACGAGATTCAAAAAAAATTATTGCTTTTAACATCAGAGAACTTGAATGCTCTTAAGAGACTGACCTTGGCCATGTTGAAGGAAGGGAACCTGGAAAATGCCTTTGAGATAACGTCATCATTCACCTCGTTACCCAGATCGCCACAAAATAGCCTATAATCATCTGTAAGTTGCAAAAACGATGACTTAGCAGCTCGCACAAGTAACGTATTCAACTTCAACAAGCACGGGAAAGGAAAACCGGCGGGCTTGATCTTACTCTCAGGCCACTCTGCCAGAGTGGGATCTTCCCAAGACTGACCAGCAGCTTTCCGGGGAACAGCTCTCTTCTTTGTTTCCGCTTTGTGTTCACTCTCGCTGCTTGCAAGTGCAGCCTTCACACCTTCAAGTGCTTCCGGCGTAATCGTTTGTGCATCTCTCTGGAACAGCTGCTGAGCCTGCTTGAGAACTACCAGAGATTAGAAGCTATTAATCCCCCTGAGTTGGCTCAATCAAAAATTAACCGAAGAGAAGAGAAAACATCAAGCCATCATTGCGATCAACGCCGACCTGCTGGAATTGGGGGATAGAGTAAACGGGACCAACGGGGGCCGTGTAGACGGAACCAACAGCAGGCGGAGCTGGGGCTGGGGCAGGCGGGGCCGCAACAACGTATGGCTGCTGGAGATGAAATGGCGTAGGGAAATACGAACTGTTCGTTTGGGTCGAGGACGTCGACGGAGCTGAGTAGGTGAATTGCGAAGCAGAGGAGGCCGAGGACGACGGCGGAATCGACATCGGTCGGGGTTATCGATGTCTGTTCAAGACGGAAGAAAGGCTAGGGTTAGGGTTTCGTAGTGACGATCTCTCTGCACTTCCTTCTGTTCGTTGAAAAGGGAGATGTAGGAGGGGAAGTAGGGATGGCAATCAAACCCATGCCCACGGGTATCCAACCGCCCCCGACCCAGTCAACGCGGGGAATCCCCGCTTTGACTGGGTATGGGGCGGGTATGGGTAAAACCCGCAAAATGTTTGATGGGTATGGGGCGGGTATGGTTTTAGCCTCCCCCGCCCCATACCCATACCCATACCCGCCCCACCAAGAATTTTGTTCACATATAAAAAATACATGGATGAAATAGTAATCTATCAATGATAGTGAGGGTAAATAAAAAAAATAATTAGTAAAAATGCAATTGAGTGGTCACCCAAATCAAAAACTAATTCATTTTCCTCAATTCTCTCTTCACTCTTTCACTTTTCCCTCGTGTTAGCAAGATTATATTAGTTCATTATTGCTTAGTATATGTATTAGAGTCAGATAAATAATTATTTGGATTACATTGTAGTACTCTATTTTATGGATTAAGGGAAATTTTAGGATAAAATGCTTTGAACCATATTAAGAATTATTGTCTCTTTCTCGACTTCATGATATAATAGGTGCTTTAATGTTATAATTGAAAATTTACATGTAAAATTTTATGTATTATAATGTTGGATGTACGGGGCGGGTATTACCCATGGGTACCCGAAACCCACGGGTATGGGGATGGGTTTGCAAAATCTTCCCCCGCATGGATATGGGGCGGGTATGGGTTTGGATATTTGGAAGCGGGGATGGGGATGGTTTAGGCAAACCCGCCCCAAACCCGCCCCATTGCCATCCCTAAGGGGAAGAGACGAGGGTGTTCTTTGTCTTGTTTGTTTCAAGAATTTGAAATATGAGTGTTTTGGTAAATTTTGGGTTTTGAAAAATCATAGATATATGATGGATTTGGTGGTATTATGAATTTGAACAAGTTTTTTGTTTGTTTGTTGTGGATTTTATTTTATAAAATTTGTGGATATAAAATACAAATTACCTTGTTGCCCTTATTTAATTATATTTTCATTAAAAACAAATATAATGCATACAAAATAACTAAACAAGCCAAAAAAAGAGAAAGAAGCAAGGAGAAACAAACATGAGAGTCCCTTTATCATTCATTGCTCGATATGAAAAACAGAGATCGGAGAGTTGGAGGGCGCCACCAAGGAAGAAGGAAGGATAGATTAGTCATTAGGTGGGGATAAACTAGTAAAATGACATCATAGATTTAAATCCATTGCCCAATTCCCACCTCCATGGTGGAACTTCCAAGTTCGTGGGGTCCATGATTTGGACCTCCAAACTCCATGGGCCCCACAGATTTACTCCCTCCAATTCCATCAAGCAAACAATATTCTTTTGTTAAAATCCATGATAAATGCAAATCCATCAACAAAACCTTGAAGCAAACGACCATATGTCTTCATAAAATTATTAGGATAATGTCTATTTTTTATCCAAACTTTTTTCAAATTTTTTTATATTATCCAAACCTATCGAAATACTAAGAATTAACCAAATGTTAACTTTCCATTAGCAATTCTCTTAGTAATATTGACTTGACAACATGTTACTGACTTAGAAGAGTCACATGAAGATCAACATTCCAAAATTTTAGTATTTTAAATAAGAAAAGGGTTATAAAATTATTAACGATAATGTAAAACTGGCTAATATTTTGATGCATTACGAAAGATTGGCTAATTAATAGCATTTTAATAGGTTTGAATAATATAAAAGAATATGAAAAATGTCTGGATAAAAAATAGACATTACCCTTATTATTATTAACAGTCATCCTAACTTTAATAATAATTAATCTACCGATGTTAGTCCTGTCGGGCAGCATGCTGCATGTCACCGGTTCAACCTGGTTTAACATGTATGAAATTGGGGGGCCGGATCCTGTGACTAAGGGGGTGCTTAATCACTTGACTAATCCCCTACCAGCCTTTAGATTTGGCCTCACCATCTGATGGTTAAAAAGTGGGAAGGGCTTTTTAATTAATGATAGGGGTAGTTTGAGTATTATGGAAAATTAAAAAATATACAAACCGTACTCACAAATGGTACAAACCATACGAACAATACAAACTAGAGCGACAAAACATACAAACAGATTTACAAACTATACGAAACATACAAACTATACAAACAATACAAACTAGACCGACAAACATTACAAAACATACTAACATTACAAAATGCCACTACTTACAATACACACTAGTAAACTTGTATTACAAATAAATGAATGCAAAGTATACAAATCACAACATAAAGTATACAAACTAGACAAACAAACATTACAAATTACAATGTGTACAAATTAGTCATATAAACATTGCAAACATAATAAATAAAAATAGCAAACTAGAATGATAAACAATACAAAATCAGAAAATATACCTACAAAATCATCTGACAAACATAACAGAACAGACGTTGTCGCCGGAAAATCCTATCTGTCGCTGGCGGAAAATTCACTGATGACAATCTCTCTCTATCTATCTCCCCCAAATACCCTCGCACACGAAAAAGGACTCTCTCTGTGAGTCCAAATCCCCTCGCAAAAAGAAAGGGGACGCCGGCGGGAAGGGGACGTCGGAATCCTGGTGGTCGGCAGTGAAATAAAAGTTCGTCGTGGGACCGCATAAGGGAAAAGATAGCAACCGGCCAAATTTGTTAATTTTTATTTATTGTGTTAATTAAAAAATTCAAAAATCATGTAATTACTACATTACCCTTCATTAAATTAATTGGAGCCATTAGATTTTAATGAGTGTGAAGGGATGAGATCGACTTAGGCAAGTGGCTAAGAGACCTCTCATAGTCACCAGATCTTAGCCCTGAAATTGGTATTACACCATTGGTATGACTGACATGATTTATTTACTATCTGTCTCTAATCAAAATAATGTTGTTTTAGTGAATTTAATTAATAAAAAATTAATTTATCATTTATTTATGAGTTTAAAAGTTAAGGTAGTTTACTTCATGGATTTAAAATGAGGGTTTCGTAATTTAAAAACTCAATGACTTATCAAGTATTTGAGACATTATGGATTTGTAACAATACTTTGTTTGTTGAGATGTTTTATCATGGTTTAAAGGTTTGTGATTGTAAACTTAAAGTCCAAAATTACCTTACTATCATTTTCTATTTGTTTGTCATGTTTATTATATATATGCATAAAACAAGGACAATACATACTAATAAGTATAATGTTGCCACGAAAACAATAATAATAAACGGGGAAATTTGGTTTAACTTTTAATGTAAAAAATAGACATTAACCTATTAGTTACCAATTCTTTGTTCTCCTTTTCAAAAGTAAGATATATCAACATATATTAGAACTGAGAGAACAAAGAATTACACGTTCCATAGTCGAAGGAAACTAGAACACAAGAATGGGCATAAAAAATCTAAGGAGTTGTTTGGATGAATCAATCTAGAAATGAGACAATTTGATCAATTGTCTCATTTTATAAATGAGGCAATTAAAACGAGTCAATTTAAATTACATACCCCCACTCTAGACAATTAAAATTGACTCAAAACATACCAATTCAAAATACCTCAGGCAAATTGATCCATCCAAATTTTTTGCTGGTAAACGAGTCAATTTGGTACAATTGTTTAAAAAAGAAACAATTGCATCAAATTGATCTGTTAAAATTCTCACCCAAACGACCCCTAACTCATGTGTTGCACATTAATTGAATATTTATATTAATTATTAATTGTTAATTAATTGATTAATTATAAAGTACAATATGTAAATGTGAGGACAACCTAGGAATGTTAAAAGTTTATGAATGTATATGGGTAAAATCTTATCATGGATTTATTGCATGTTCCAAATACCACATCAACATGTGGGATTTACGAGTCTGTGGGGTCCACAAATTTGGAGAATTACTATTTGTCGCCCTAAAATTTCAAATTTTATCGCCCTAAATTAAAAAATAGACACATTTGTCCCTATCCCCAATTTCTAACCTAACTTTAGATGAATAATCTCGCCGGCCACCACAAAAACCGGATTCTACTCCCCAGTCATCATCTTCCATCGCCCACATCATCGATCGGGATGAGCAAGCAAAGAGGAGGAGAAGAGAGTAGTCGGGGGGTTACCGTCCCTACACCTAGCTTCAACACCATCATCTACAACGACCCCATTCCGCTCTTCGACTAGAAATCCACTCCGCCGTCCTCTGCTTCTTACTCGACAAGATTCACTTTCTCATAACTAGAGCTTCAACATGACAGGATATTTGCAGGGATCTTTCAAGAAACATAAGCAAGAGAAAGGGAATTAACCCTCACAATGAGGGTTCATTGAAAAGGCATACAGAGCTCTGTGAAATTATGAGCTAAAGAACTTTTGATTAATTGAAAGGAAATGGTCCTTCCAGACAGAAGCGATGAATCAGAAGAGAGGAGAAAACCCAGTTGCAAAATTGATTTATCAACACATGGAGGAACTTCTTTTTTCTTCTGTTACTCCCTCTCCCTACTCACACCCAGATCGGTGAATCCCCCCACAACTTCGCCTACAATTCCACCTTCCAATTCCGATAACAAGAACCAAAAGCACCTCAAATTGGGACTCACATTCGCGACCCTTCTTTCTTCTGTGCATGCCTCATGATCTTAGGCTCAACTCAATCAATTTGTGATTAAATTAAGAAGTTTCGATTTGGGATTTAGGGTTTTTTCCTTTGAAGAAGAAGGAGAAAAGGAAGGCAACTGAAGCAGAGCGGTGATACTGATCGTCAGGCGAGGCGAGCAGAGCAGAGGAGACCACCGAAGTAGAGCGGCGCCGCTGATCGTCGGGCGGGGCGAGCAGGAGTAGAGGGAGGTTGTAGCTCGTCAGGGAAGACAGAGGGAGAGGGAAGCTCTCTAACGTTGGGTGAACTTTAGGGAGATTTATTTTTGGGGGCAAAATCGTACATTCAGTATAGTTTAGGGCAATTTATTTAAAAACTTAGGGCGTTAAATAGGAATCCGGCAAATTTGGACCCCTAAAATCTGTGGTTCCCACTTATTTGGTCCCTAAAAAATGGGGTTAATTGCATGGTTGGTCACTGAGATTACAAAAAACATTCATGGTTGGTCACTGAAAATATTTAAATTCGTTCGTGATCACTCTAATTAGTTCAATGGGTCAAGTATGGTCACTCTCCGTTAGCTTCCGTTAGTCTTCGTTAACACCGTCAGTTAATTGCTGACATGGCTAACATAAATGTACAATCATCCAATTTTACTCAGAGAAAGTTAAAATATAACCTGCCACATCATAAAAACCCTCCACGTCATATAATCCCAACCCAATAACCCGACCTACACAAATCAAAATTAAAATAATTCTAAAAACACTGAAACTCCCCTTCACTTAGTCGCTCAACTCCCAGAGACCTTTATGTTTTCTCAATCCTTTCTCTTCCAAAACCATCGTCACCGATCTTCCTCCGATTGCTACTCTGACAACACCATCGATAACAAGCCCAAGAACTCCAACCCACCGGACAACGACCTCCAACTCCAAACTGCATGGGTTCATCAATGCGAGGAGCAAATCCGCTCGACGTAGACCCAACCATCGTTGCCAGCTGCCATAAATCCAGAACATCGTCGGAGCAAATATGCTCGATGAGGGCGGCCCAACCATCTCTCCCACAAAACAATACAACCGATGGAGCAGATCCTACTCTTACTTTCTCCCTCCTGTAATGTTCTCCAACCCAGGCACAAAGAGGAAGAAGCAGTCGCACAATCCAGAGATTGCCAATAATTATCAAAAGACGAAAGTGTTGGGTTTGGGAAGAAGAAATCAACTTCTTCCTCTTGATTTTTCCTCCAACCAATTTGTTATAGCTATTTCTCTTCTAAGCTCATGAATCCCACATCGACATTAGATTGAAGAAAAGCATGCGAACTGAATCCCTCCTGTCCCAAACGCCCAACAAAAGAGCACCCTTCTCCTTTTGATCCAAACTCTCCCCGACCCTCTCCAGTCAAAAGACCCATCCCGTTAGTCTCCACCGAGATCCCCAATAGTTTCAACAGCAAGCTCGTCCTTGCTATCAGGACGTCACGCTTCGTTACCAAGGCGGCCAAACTCACGTCCCTCTGTCCAGTGCTCCTTCTCCTTCTCCACTAAATTACCTAGCTATTCCCCTTCGCAATTTCATCCTGATTCACCCTAGTTGTTCCGACAGATTCGCCTCCTGTCCATCAATCCCTCGGCTTCCTCTATTTTATCTGAATGGAAAAAAAACACTATCCCCAGGGAATGACGGATCTGCTTCTCCTTAACTTTTGATCTTCCGGAAAAGCGAAGGCGGCAACAAGTAGGGAGTTGAAGCTGGCGCGTCGTCGTTGGTTAGTGAGATTGGAGAGGGAGTGGGATCGACGATGAGGGAAGAATGATGTTTCTTCCAGTTCTCTTCTCCATCGAGGGATTTTGGAAATTAGTCAATCTTGGGTTTTAATTTGGGGTAGGTTGGGTCATGGATTAATGGGTCGGGTCACATTGGTTAGGTTTTTATGATGTGGCAGGTTTTTTATGATGTGGCAGGATTGAATTTTATTTTATTTTTGTCAAAAATAGGTGACTAGGTGAGTCGGTTAGCCACGTCAGCAAATAACTGACGGTGTTAATGAAAACTGACGGAAGATAACGGAGAGTGACCAAACTTGAACCATTTAACTAATTTGAGCAACCACTAATGGATTTAAATATTTTCAGTGACCAAACATGAACGTTTTTTGTAATCTCAGTGATCAACCATGCAATTAACCCCTAAAAAATGTGTAAGCAAATACTGGTTTTTCCTTAAATCCATGATGGATTGGATTTGGCTACCAAATCCACGAAGCAAACGATCCATTAAATGTTGATGTTATTTGTTGGATTCAAGTATAAACGTTTAGATATTGATGCTAATGTTGTATTTTAATATGAGTATTTGTAATTTTATTAAGAGTTTCTCATTTTATTAAATATCATATGAATTGTAAGTAAATTGTCTTCAAATTTATTTTATATATGATTAAATTCATTTATTGTTAATGATATTTCACATTTGTACATATTTTGTTAAACTGGCATGAACCGGCACATACCGGTTGTACCACTGGTCGAACCATTCTACTTGCTAAACCAACACAACGGTATAAAGAGGTTTGACAATCTTTACGTAATTGTCATGTTTAAATTTTAAGTTTAAACTAAAACAAACACAACTCTATTCTCTCTCCTACCTCACCGCCAAACCTTCTTTACCACCGACCTTCGATCTTCCAGTCGCCGGCCTTTGTGCTCCTAGCCGCTGTCGCAGCCAATCTTCCCCATCCTCTGCCATCCCTCCTCGAGACCGCTCAAACCATCATCTTCTTCCGCCTTCCCTGGCCATTGCATCTCAGCCCGATCTCGCCGCTGCAAAGAAGTACGAAGAGAATAGAAGCTTGCGGAAGCAAAAGAATCTCGTTGCCGCTCCAAAGATGGGGGAAGGGAAGGGAAGTGTGCGGATTAGGAAGAAGAGGGAAGAGAATGAAGAAGGAACCAAGACGCTCCTTCCACCCCGCCCTGACATCGCCGCCTCTTTACCTGGCCGGAGAAGAAGACGGCTGCTGCTCTCTGCATATATGACAGTCAACCGAAGTCAAACCTTCGTTTGCCCAGTGTCCAAATCATTTTTTGGTTTGGTCCTCTTTTTTTACATAATTATTTTTTAATTGTAATTTGATTTAAATTGGTTTGATCTTCGCGCCATTTCTTCCAACAATCGACTACGGGGTTGGTTCCACCTGTTAGATTCTGAAACACACTGAAACACAACAAACCTAGCGTAAACCATACCTTTCGGAGCTCAAATGCCACAAATGCCAAAGATAAATGGGGATCAAAAGTGTACATTTAGACCCGAATCACTAAATTTATTTGATATTAATGATTTTTCACATCTTATGTTGTTTAACAGACCTAAACCGGTCTAAATCTGTTGTACAACTGGTCGAACCATACCATTTGCTAAATCGGCACAACGGTATAAACCGTTTGACAACTTTCCACCTCACGCATTTCCACTTTCTCACTCTCACCGGTATAAAACAGTTGTACCACCAGTTAAGGGTGGCTGTTTGGTCCGGATTTTTTGGTTTTACCCGAAATCGGACCGTATAACCCGGACAAAGACTGGACCTGGACCGAATAGCAAACAATCCAATCTCGTCTTCAGGCTTAGATATGAGGTAAAAACCCGTTCGAGACCGGACCGAAATCGGATAAAGACCGGATAAGAGAACCCAACATCCAAAACCTAACCAACTCCCATCCTTTCAGGCCTCGGACCACTCAAATCACTACAAGATCAATCTAAAATCAAGACAGGAATGGGATCGAATCGGGTCAAAACCGGAATGGATCAAGACCGGACTGTATCCAATCCTGTCTTTGGTCCTCATATTCCCAAAAAATCCGGACCGAAACCGGAGCAATCCAAGCCAGTTTATCCGGACCGTATAATCACCCCTACCATCAATCGATCCATACCATATGCTAAACCATCACAACGATATAAACCAGTTTGATAACTTTCCACCTCACGTCCAGATTCACTTTCTAGTTTCTACCTCTCTCTCTCTCTCTCTAAACATTCAAGACCAAACCTTCTATATTTTCAACATTGCCCTTCGGATATATAAATCCCTTGGAAAAATTAAAAGAAAGTTGGAAAACGGGGGATTCGTGGGACACTAGCCTACGACCCAGCCGAATACTACGAATTAGATGATAAAATAAAATTTGTCTACCGAATCTACCCTTCTCCCTGTGGCTTCTCTTCTCTTGTGAGCACCTTCCCAATTTCAGCTTCCTTTTAGGTTTTTGCCTCTTTTTTTTTTGGTTTGTCAAGTTATTATTTGTTGGGTTCTTGATCGCTTTTATTAATTTCCACCATTATTTTGACCGTTTCTTAGACAGCAATTTGGAAATTTCTGATGCCTGGATTGATTTCTTGAAATCCTGCACTGGGTTGGGGGTTAGGGTTTTATCATCTAATGCTCTTTGCTTTTTTTTTTTAATCGAGACTACGATGATGATGAATTGTGGGTGAGACTGAGTCATAGTTGGGATATCCAATTTGTTTCTGCTCTTCGGTGTAAATTCTTGAACGATTGTTCGTCCGAAGAAGAAACAGGAGGAAGAAAGTAAATTCTGGAAAATTTCGTAATAAAGTAGAAAATATGTGGCCTATCTAGGTGATGGAGTTTCGATTAGGGTTAGGGTTAGATATTTAGATCTGCTATAATCAGCTTGAATCTTTTCCATCCTTCTTCTTGAGTTGGTACATCTGCAAAGAGCTATCTATTCTGTTTGGCTGGTTCACAATCTGGGGAAGCTTTCGATTCAGCTGCTTTGACTGGAACCCAGGAAATATCTGGGATCACCATACTGTAAGCACTAATCTGTGCCTTTTTTTCGTCCTAACCATTATTTGGTCCAATCCGAGAGGATCTTTCTTTCAATTTTTTTCCCTTTTGAGGAGTGCCTTTCTTTTAGTTTTCCTTTTATATAATTGGGTCTAATTTAGAAAGTTCTTACACTGCCTGTTTGGTTTGAGATCCAGGGTGGATTTGGGAATTTGATTTTTCAAACACTCAGATATTACTTGACGTTTGTGAAATTTGATCAGTCTTTTGCAACTTAATATGGTAGTTATTTTATAAATAATCTATGCTGCCAAATCCAATGTGTGTAGACCCAATAGGTTTGTTTTTGTTATTACTATTTTTTCCTCGAGAGGGTCTCGACTCTCGACTACCGAATTATTCACTGAGATTTGTTTTGATCTGATCATGCATGCATATCTTGATCTTGTTTGCTTCAATTCAGCGATGTCTCTTCAGAGCACATCCAGCGTTGCTGGTCACGATGAACATTCATCTGAGATGAGAGCTGTCATCTGACAAATGTTTTGGGGGAGTAATTAATTAGTTTGTCGGTCTTTTGCATAAGTTTCCAGCCAAAATTTTGTTGTGTATGTCAACCATTTGTTAGATAGACTGCCCTTCACCTCAGCAGCGTTCGCTTTGAAGTACACTTAAATCATAATATGTCAAATAACTTGGATAGGGTGTCTGTGATGTAGAAAACTCATTACACTTCTCCAGGCTGCATATACCGCGATGTTGAAATGGTGATGATGCTTCACAATTCAGACGTTCCATTCCATTTACATGAACTTTGTGATAATGAAATGGCGGCGATACTTCTTACTTTGGACTCATAGTTTATTGTGCTTGTATCCTTAGGTAGATGGGAACTGAACTCATGAGAGTCTGTGTTAAGGAAGAGAATGAAGAAGTTCCTGCAGTTCCTCCTGGATTCGAGTCATTCGCCCCATTTTCCTTGAAGAGGATAGAAGATGGGGGGAAGAGGGGAAGCCCAGATGGTGTTAGCTGTTTAGATATTGCCAGAACTTCTGGGCTGCAGTCAGTGCAAGTAAAACCAGAGCCTTGTACAATTGATACAGCAGCAGAGCATGTTAGTCGAATTGCAGTAAGCACTTCAGCCTCAACAAGTGTCAGTGGATCGCAATCCATTCAGGTGAAAACTGAACCTCTAAATAGTGATGCCAATAAAATCACGAAGTCTCTTAGGCGTAAGCCTTGGATAAATCATGGGCATTCAGATCGCTGTACAGATGATGATCCTGGCGGCGTGGACGTTAATCTGGTTAGTCTTAGGAGACTGTACATTGCAGCTCTTTGTCTTGGAATACTAGTGATATAGGCTCTATTTTTCCGTCAATATTTGCTACATGTCGGGCCTTACGACTATTTCTTTTGTTTCAGAATCCGAATTTAAGGACTTGTCTTCCAAAGGGTGTTGTTCTGGCCTTACCACAATTTGTTTTGTTTCAGAATCCCGATATAAGGACTTGTCTCCCTAAGGGTGTTGTTCGCGGCTGCCCACAATGCAAGGATTGCCAAAAGGTTAGTGTTATTTACTAAGGCAACCTTTTTTTTTATAATTGTTTTTTTGGTTCAGTCCGGTGCAGCTTCGTGCTGCATATGTTGGTAGAGAATTCAATTTTAACATCGCAACTCATTGACATCCTATATATGTTATGTACAACCATTGCTTATTCTGTTTGACCCTTTACCTAATGTCTTATATTCTGAAAGTCTGGTAACTAAAATCTGAGTCAACGGCACAGGTTACAGCCAGATGGCGTCCTGAATATGCTCACAGGCCTGATCTTGAGGAAGCTCCTGTGTTCTACCCTACAGAAGAAGTATCTCTTGTTGCTTATACTGTGTGTTTCTCCTTTTTTATACCGTCAAGACATGAGATTGACTTTGTATTTCCTTTCTCTTTTCCTCTAGGAGTTTGAAGATACCCTGAAGTATATAGCTAGTATACGGCTTAAAGCTGAACCTTATGGTATCTGTCGGATTGTCCCGCCTCCTTCATGGAAACCTCCCTGTCCCCTCAAGGAAAAGAGTATATGGGAGGGCTCCAAATTTATAACTCGTGTTCAGAGAGTTGACAAACTACAAAATCGAGGTTCTATGAAAAAGTTATCCAAGTTCAATAATCACACCAGGAAGAAAAGGAGAATGTGTATGAGAATGACAGTAGATTGTGGGCCTGATGTTGGGAGTATATCCGAGTCTGGTGATACTTCTGCGGTCGGCTTGGCTGAGACATTTGGGTTTGATCCTGGTCCAGAATTTGATCTGAGTACATTTCAGAAGTATGCAGATGATTTCAAGGCCCAGTACTTCAGGAAGGATGCAGATCTTGCAAACAAATCATCCTTTGTAAATTGGGAGCCTACGGTGGAGAATGTTGAGGGTGAATATTGGAGAATCATAGAGAAGGCTACTGAAGAAATCGAGGTATAGTTCCGAACAGCTGAATCTTGCGGCTACACAGGGCGTAGTTGTTCATGTTGCATCGTTCTTTTCGGACAAGAGTTGTGGGATGAATTGGTCCTTACTTGTTTCTTTATCTTTTGTAGGTTCTGTATGGAGCTGATCTTGAAACTGGCGTTTTCGGTAGTGGGTTTCCCAAAATGTCTGGTGAAGTTGGTTCTGCAGTGCAGGACCAGTATAGTAAATCAGGCTGGAACTTGAATAACTTCCCAAGGCTGTCTGGATCTGTCCTGTCTTATGAAAGTGGTGATATTACTGGTGTACTAGTTCCTTGGCTATACATTGGCATGTGCTTTTCGTCCTTTTGTTGGGTAAGTCTTAGTTTAATTGTAGGCAAAACCTTAACCCATGCCATAGAGCAGTATTAATACTGATGGAATTGATGAATTGTATGCATTCTGCTGTTTCATGGTGAGATGCATATTTGGGGTGTTATTTGCTTCACTTCTCCTTTGTCGGTATGATGATTGATGCACCTGCGCCTTTTATCTTGTTTTGTTTTGAGTGCCTTTTGAGCATGGCTTATTTGGAACTGTTTTGTAATCCTTTGGAAACTGTTCTTTTATTTTTATATATATTATAGATGCAAGTCCGTCGTGATTAAAGAATCTGCAAACGCCGCTCTACTGTACTGCTGTTAAAGCTGCTGAATGTTAGATCAGTCAATGGTTTTAGGCCTTTAACTTCTCTGCTGGCTTGCCATTGATTCTAGTAATGCGTGTACACTTATTTCTTTGTTGCTGATTTTCATGACCTGATCGTGTTTTTTATTTCTATCTGGGTGGCTGAATGCAGCATGTTGAGGATCATCACTTGTATTCACTTAATTATATGCATTGGGGTGCTCCAAAAATGTGGTATGGAGTACCTGGCAAGGATGCTGTAAAATTGGAAGAGGCGATGAGAAAGCATTTGCCTGATCTCTTTGACGAACAGCCTGATCTGCTTCATAAGCTAGTAAGAACATCTCTCCTGGCGGCTTTGTTAAATATCTATATGTGGGTGGAAGAGATATATAAGTTAAAGCTGATACTCCAACCATTCTATGCCATTAAACTTGCTTATGCCTTGTAATCCATTTGTGTCAGCAGCAACTTCTAGGGTTAAGATGGTGTCTCAATCAGTCAATTGCAACGTGTTCCTCAACTACTTGTGCATTGACAACTTTTATTGCTTAAGTTGGACTTTAGGAGTGGTTTAGCAATAATCATGCTATTGTTCTTTTCTTTTCTGCGATTGTTGAGATTATCGATCCATGGCAGATAAAGCAAAGCTGATCACCAAGCTTGTGATTGAGTTGATAAGTGGATCTTTCAGCTGAACCAAGTTCTTGGATTGCAAGTTTGGGAATGTAACTCTGGTTTCTGGTCTTACCCAGCTTGAATTGAATTAAATTAGTAGTTTAAGAAAAGATATGGCTAAGGTGCCTAACACAATTTAGTCAAACCATACATGCTTCTGGTTTATGGTGGATAAGTATGAAACTTCAAGATTGGTTCTATCCTAAATTTCTGATGCTATATTTGATGTTTTATTTTGGCACATAGGTGACGCAGCTTTCACCATCGATACTAAAATCTGAAGGTGTCCCAGTTTATCGCTGTGCACAGAATGCTGGAGAGTTTGTTTTGACCTTTCCTCGGGCATACCATGCTGGTTTTAATAGCGGTTTCAATTGTGCGGAGGCTGTAAATGTAGCCCCTGTTGACTGGTTGCCCCATGGACAGATTGCGGTAGAGCTTTACCGTGATCAAGGACGACGGACATCCATTTCGCACGATAAACTACTGTTAGGAGCTGCAAGGGAAGCAGTGAAAGCTCAGTGGCAACTCAATTTACTGAAGCGGAACACTGCAGATAACTTAAGGTGGAAAGAAGTTTGCGGAAAGGATGGAATATTAGCTAAAGCACTTAAGGTAAATTTCGTCTTTCTTATGTTACGTTATTGCTGGTTTTTAGCATGTTCGTGGGTGGTTGGTATTATATATTTGGGATTCCAGAAATCTGGCAGGTTTTGGGTATCACTATTATCATAAAGCAATCAGTGTGTTGAGTTCATCTTTTGACAGTCGCCATGCATGCATATATGAATAGAACCTGTTCTTCTTGTTTTTTATGTGTAGCCAAAATATTCTCTTTATTCCTCTTCCGCTGATAATTTTGTATAGACACGCCTGGAGATGGAGCGGACAAGGAGGGCGATCCTCTGCAAGTCGTCGCAGACACTTAAGATGGCCAGCAACTTTGATGCAACTTGTGAAAGGGAATGCACCTTTTGCCTCTTTGATTTACACCTCTCTGCGGCAGGATGCCGGTGTTCTCCAGACAGGTACACATGTTTGAATCATGCGAATCAGCTGTGCTCATGCGCTCCAGGTGCCAGATATTTCCTCTTTCGCTATGAAATCAGTGAATTGGATATCCTTGTGGAGGCATTGGAAGGAAAATTGAGCGCAGTGTACAGGTGGGCAAGATCGGATCTTGGTCTAGCCCTCACTTCTCCTGCTGCTGGTAGGAAGAGCATTCAAGATGGTAAGGTGTCTCATTTTCCCGAAGCATCATTGTTAGTTAAAGGGATGAATTCACAATCAGCGAAGGATTTCGTGAAGGAGACCAAGGAGAAAGGGATCTCTAATGATGTCACATTGGCATCAGCTAGAATTCTTGGTGATTCAACTTCAGATCACCAACAGAGACTACCTGAAACTGTATCTGGCAAAGATGTGAAGGCATCATCAGCATCCTGCAGTCCTCAAGCAATGGAGAAGGGAGTCATCAGATTAACCTTGAGAAAAAGACCCAGTATTTTGTCTACAGAAGCAAATATGTCTATACCAGGTTTAACCATGCAAGAGGTGTCCTGTCCTGTGGATGTTTCAGGGAAGTCTGAAGCACGAAAATCCTCGAATTTGGTTCACGATGAAGTTATTTTTCTTAGTGATGATGAGGGGGTTACTCCAAAAAAGGAAGTTCTGGAAAGAGCCAAGGGGAAAGAAGACTTTCGCACTAAGCATTCGGACCTCTCTGATAAGCTATCTTGTTCAGGTGATAGCCCATGTAACGACCATGACTCTCCCAATGCTGCTGCTGCACCTGTTGTGAGAAAGGGCTCCATTTGCTCATCCTCCAATAATAGTCAAAGTTTAAGCAGTGCTGCTGTGACGGTGAAGGAAGAAGAGTCTCATCAAAGCCCTGGGGCAGTTTTGGAATCTTATAATCAACCTAATAGTTGTCTAATTGGTTCAAGCACTACAGGATTTGGTAGGGGTATTGTGGATTCTCTCCATTCAAGTGAAACAACCTGTAATGGTGACAATATAGGAGATGCTGGAAGCCGGCAGCCGAATCAATATAGCCATGGAAAATCTAGCTATGAAGATAGGATGATGGGGATAAGTGCAACTTCTAGTCCTATGGACTTGACTAAGACTACAACAGTGAGTCCATCTTGCTTGCAGAGTAATTTGGATCGTTGTTTGCGCCAGAAGGGCCCCCGTATTGCTAAGGTCGTGCGCAGAATAAATTGCAATGTCGAGCCTCAGGAGTTTGGAGTTGTTCTTTCTGGGAATACTTGGTGTAACAGTCAGGCAATTTTTCCCAAAGGTATGCTGCGTGAATTGTGTTAGTTAGAATTTGTAGTCAATAGTCCTCTGGCGGTGCTAGTGAGGAATGATCGGCTGTTTGTGCTTAACTATTTTTATCCGATGCAGGATATAGGAGCCGGGTTAAGTATATCAGTGTCTTGGATCCAACGAGTATGTGTTACTATGTCTCTGAAATCCTGGATTCTGGAAGAAATGGACCATTGTTTATGGTAAATTTCTTCTTGGTGGAGCTTTAAAACTAGACTCATATTTGATTTTATATTCATTCTGACTCAACTGTCCAACAAACTAGTACGGTTCAGAGATGCACAAATGTTAAATATCAACTGAAGGGATTCAAGGGGGTTTTGGAATGAAAAGAGAGCCTTTCATATCTGAATAAAAAGGAAACAAGAAGATTCTTTCTTTGTTGTCCAGATGATCTAATAAGTTCTGAATATATGAACATAATTTTCAGGTGTCCCTTGAGCAGTGTCCAGCGGAGGTATTCGTTCACATTTCGGCTACCCGATGTTGGGAAATGGTGAGAGAGAGGGTGAATCAAGAGATAACAAAGCAGTATAAAATGGGTAAACCAAATCTTGCTCCCTTACAACCTCCCGGGAGCCTAGATGGCTTCGAAATGTTTGGGTTCTCATCCCCTACAATCGTCCAGGTAAAGTTTGTTAAACTGTCTGCTCTGTGTTTTGCTACCGAAAAAGAGTCTTGTCGGATAGGTTCTTAACAGTGTTAACCTCCTGAGGGATTCACTTCTTGCATTGCTGTTTAACGTTCAAGTTAAAACTTATTGAACAGGCAATCGAAGCATTGGACCATGACAGAGTTTGTACAGAGTATTGGGACTCGAGGCCCTATTCGCGGCCGCAAGGGCAGATACCACGTCATTCTCTAAGTCAACCAGCCCAGAAACCAAGTAACGGGGGAGCTGATGGTGAGGTAGATGAGATACTGAGAGGGGTATTCAAGAAGGCAGACCCCGAGGAACTAAGCAAACTCAATCGTCTTTTGAATCAAATGACGCCGCCGACTTCTGATAATCGAGACTTATTAACCAAACTTGTTAATGAAGAGATTCAAAACCGTTCCAATGGGAGGTAATTTTGATTGATGAATCAGGTCTTGTTCGTGAGCATTTTCAGAGGAGGCCGAGGATGTGACAGCGACCCGTTTGTAGCGTTGTAGGGTTCTTTTCTTTTGTTCTTTCTCCTTCTTTTGGCTGACTGTAAATACACATCTCGCCTTTCCAACTCATACGGGCTCAATTCATTTCTTCCATTGAAACACGGTTTTCTTCCACCGGTGGCAAATTTCAAGAGGAGACAAAGCACATCCAGATTGAAAGTTTCCGTTTTGAGGGCCACACGCCCACACCGCAGGATTTTAGACCATTCACACGGTGCTATGTTGACTGATCCTTTCTCAAGTAGATCATTGCCAACGTCTTTGGTGTTCTGTTCAGACTTCAGAAAAATTACCTCCTGCCATTCTACTGCTCTATTGGAGATGGGAGGTGGATTTATCAGAAAATGAAATTTGGAACTCATTTAAACAAGATTTATCAGAAAATGAAATTTGGAACTCATTTAAACAAGCTAGCCAAAATTATGGATTTATGATGTTACCAAAATTATGAATTTGCGTTCACCTTGTTTAGCCCCCACCAAAAATGTGCCACGTGCCTGTCCAAATCACTGCATAGTGTTTTAGGTAACTAAAAACATGAAATGACGTGAATAGGGAGAGCATTGACTACCGCCTTTAACAAGACCTCCTTGGCCACCCACCACAGACACCATTGTTTACGTCGTTGCAACCGCTGAATGGCCTTTTCCTTCATAAATCAAATTTTTTATAACTTAGATCTCTCCACCAAGGAAGGAAAATGGTGACCCTCAAATTATAGTATTCATCATTCCCATATTTGATACAGTTTCCTAATCTATCAATGCATCTTTAGTATATTTTGTCAATTTTTAGGTAGAAATCATGACTATGTGGTCAATATGCTTTTAATATACCTAAATGTGTATTTGTATAATTTTAAGTCTTTTTGTATTCTTTTGTGCTTTTCAAGGTCAAACACATTCTAGGATGACTTGAAATAACTATTGGATCAAATTGGAAGATCAAGAGGAACAACTACTAGAAGATTAAGATAATTCGTCCATTAAACGAGGCCAAATCGAGGGAAGCTTTCATGAAGTCGTCATAAAAGCCCAAGAGGAGTCCACTATAGAAAATTTCATCCCAAACCCACAAAGAAACCCACGATGGCTTTGTGATGGTGCTAACTGCTGTTGGGTCGAACCCATCAAGTCGTGCTGGATTTCACGGAGGAGTTACTTATGGGCCAATCAACCCAAAGGAGGAAGAAAATGCACGACGACCCCAACGCCACTGGCCCAAGCCCAAGGAATCTTTGCGAGTATGCCTTGCTTCCTCTTCAAGTTAAGCAATCCGAGTCTCAGTTGTATAAGAAAGTCTCAGTGGTATAAGGAGTCTCTTCATTCACAAGTTTCTTGTTTTGACTTAAGGCTAGAGTCCTCGCCGAGGTGGTTGGGAGATATCTTGTCTCCAGTTGACCCTGTAAGTTTCTACTGACCCGCTACCGATGATTGAAGTTTCATGCTCTTGTGGGAGTCTAGTGAGTTGCACCGATTTGAGCTAGGTTTGCTCGGGGACAAGAAAACGGTTAAGTGTGCGCAAGAATTTGATACCGGCATAATGATACATATTTTGAGCCTCATGTCTTGAGCCTCATGGGACAAGAATGATTTCTAGGACATTTGGAGGCAAAATTAGGCCAAAGGTAGCAAAAATGTCAAAAGTTATGACAAGGCTTCACAAGTCTTGACCATGACTATGACATTCAACACGAGCCCGCGACTTTCCAAATATCAAGGGCGATTTCACAAGTCACGATCTAGCTTCACAAGTCACGACCATGGCCATGACATTCATCATCCAGTCTATGATGTTCGAAAAACACCATACGACATTTCTTATGTCACGGTTGACCATTCACAAGTCACGGCCATGACCGTGACATTTTCTCCCTACTCTTTACTTTTGCACTTCAACTCGAGGATACGATGCACTTTTAGTTAATGCCAGGACCTTATATATGTCATGGTCGTGACTTCCGATCGTGAGTCGGGCAAATCAGGCAATATGAGGATTTTTACGGGAAGCACCAAGGAGTGACGATTGAAGAAAGAGAAGTCGTTTTCAACCTCTCAATGAAGAATAGTTGATTCTCATGGATTTTCCTTCATCTCTATGGAGTAGTTTCTCTCTCACTTAGGTGTGAGGAGCCCTAATTTCATGGGTTAGATTGATTTTTGTTTGAACCCTATGATTATGAATTTCTACTATCTATTTTTTGATGTTTAAAATTAATTGTATGAGTCTTGATCATACTCCTTCAATTGTGATTTGACTATGAGAGAGAAAATCTTTCTAGGTCAATAGAGCATCTTCAATTGAACTTTGTGAGTCGATAACATGAGAGTGAGTCGCATCAAAGCGTTGTATTCAGTGCGTCTCAATAGCGAGAGTCTATACTGTTTTGCATTCAGTGTTCTATACCGGTCGTGGAAACTCTCCCTCCGGGAAGTTCATCTAAATGGATTTGGTTAGCTCGAACAGGGATTCCAAACTAGCTAAGGACTGTTCGTAGTAAAAGTATTGAATCAATCAATCAAGCTGTTTTCTCATTTTTGAATTTGAACCAATTTACTTTGATTTGCTTCATTAATCATTAGTTTGCTAATCAACATCATACCTTATTGGCTAGATAATAGTTAAGATCAAACCTAGTGTCCTGGGTTGACATTTTATTATTTGCTTCCTTATATTACACCCTTCATTGGTTATCCTCGCAGCCCCATGGTCGTCTTCTCACAACCACAAGGTCAATTCTTTTTTTTTTTGACAAAAGATAATCATATTGATTGATGAGAGATAAGAGATCATTACATCCTGGAATTAAGCCAGGCCTGAAAATCAAAGAAACGACTCGTAGTCGGATACAGAGAGAGGGCCTTACGAGCCACTAAATGGGCTACCCTATTGTTATTCCGACCTACAAATCTAATCGAAAACCCCGGATGAGAAGCAAAAAACAAAATAACTTCTTCTAGCACAGCTCCCATCCGGCTATCTCTGGAATCTGCCTGGTTGATTTTGTCAATGACAAGTTTTGCATCACCTTCAAAAATAACTTCCGTAACTCCATGCCCTATGCATCCCAGAATCGCCTCTCTCAGGGCCAGTAACTCCACCACCGCCGGGTCCTGCACATCCGGAAATTGGGTTCCTTGAACAAAGACGACCTCCATAGCCGAATTAAAAATTACAAACCCACCAGCCGAATGCGCCCCACGACTTGTCGCCCCATCCCACCGACACACAGTTGAACCATCCGGAACAGCACTAGGAGTCCAGGGACTGGGGAACGTGCTCCGAGGAACAGGCTCCCTAGGCAGGCAGACCCACTCCTCCACTTGCTGGTGAAATTGACGCAGGAGTACTGGAATCCCAAACTGCTTGCCTTCGAACACAACCCAGTTACGGGAACGCCAGATCCTCCAGAGGATAGCTACCACCGCCATGAGCATAGAAGGTTCACGCACCCGATTCAACAATTTCTTGAGAAACAACGGGAACGTATGCCTTGGCAACCCCTCCCCCAGGAAATCCAAACCCGCATACTCCCACAAAGCTCTCGCCACCGGGCAGTCTAAAAATAAATGTTCCATTGTTTCTGACTCTGCCCAACAAACCGGGCAGCGCGATAACACCGGAACCTCCTTTTCCAACAGGGCCTCAGTTGTAGGGAGGATTCTGTGGAATAACTGCCAAACGAAGACTTTGAGTTTCGGCGGAATGTTGGCCTCCCAGAGTTTAATCCAACTGGCTTTATCCATCCAACTTGCCAAAGACCGCCAGCGCCCTCGCTTCTGATCAAGATTAACCGCCAGGTGATAAGCTGACTTGACAGAGAACCTCCCATCCGGAGAGTAATGCCAAATGAGGCGGTCCGGGACACTCTGTCGTGGAAGGGGAATAGCTCTAATTGCTGCACAAGTAGCTGGATCAAACCACCGGCCTAACTTATCCTCATTCCAACGCCCTTCACCCTGACAAAGGACCTCCGCAACCTTAGGGTCACCTCCTGCCGGCATCACACAAGGATTGGCAACAAGGGGCCAGGGATGAATTTGGGGAACCCACTTGGACTCCAGCAGGGATGCTGTCATCCCATCCCCAATCTGCCACCGGATCCCCTCCTCCAACAATTGCCGACCATACAAGACACCCTGCCACCCCCAAGAAGGACGCGAACGAGCTGTTGCCTCAAGAAAGGTTCCATTCGGATAGTACTTCCCTTTATAGACTTGGGCCAGGAGAGACTGAGGTTCAGTAAGAAGCTGCCAACCAATTTTGGCCAACAACGCTTGGTTGAATTGTTCAAAGCGACGGAACCCCATCCCCCCATCATGCTTACTTTTGCACATATTCCGCCAAGAGACCCATCTAATCCTTGGCTGTCCCTCAACCGCCCCCCACCAGAATCGAGCCAGATGTTTGTCCAGGAGCCGGCAAAGAGACAGGGGAAGCTTGAAGCAAGACATAACATGTAAGGGAAGTGCTAAAGCTATAGACTTAATCAGAGTCTCCTTAGCTGCCCAAGACAACGTCCGCTGTTTCCAACCCTGAAGACGCTCAAGCAGTTTTTCTTCCAAGTACCGGAAGGTATCCATTTTCGATCGGGAGAAGAGCGTTGGGAGGCCCAGGTACTTGTCATGGACACCCACCGCACCCACCCCCAGAATTTGAGCCAAGAACTCTTTATCCGGCAAACGAATATTCTTACTGAAGCATACTGCGGATTTAGCCAAATTGACCCTTTGACCACTGAGTTCCTCATACTCATTCAGGACCTCTAGTAAATTCTCACATTCCTGGAGAGAGCCGCGCAGGAATAGATAAGAATCATCAGCAAAGAACAAGTGAGAGATCCTGGGAGCACGAGGAGCAACTTTAATGCCCTCTAGCTTTTTCTCCGCAATAGCCTTACGTAACAGCGCCGCAAACCCCCCTGTGCAAATAACAAACAGTAAAGGAGATAAAGGACCCCCTTGTCGCAATCCCCGGGAAGGGGAAAAGTAGCCCGAAGGGGTACCATTCATCAGCACCGAGAACGAGGCGGATCGAAGGCATTCGTGGATCCATCCTTTCCAAACCGAACTGAACCCCATCTTGTCCAAAACTGCAAGAAGAAATGGCCATTCGACTCTATCATAGGATTTTTCCATGTCATCCTTTAGAGCCATGTACCCTTTCTTACCTCGCATTTTGATTTTCAAGTAGTGCATCAATTCATGTCCGAGAAGGACATTTTCTACTATCTGTCGCTCTCGAATGAAGGCGTTTTGCCCCTCTGAAATAATCTGAGGTCAATTCGCTCACGGTCGTGTGGTTTATTATTTTTGTGGCATAGGCTCTTGTGAGAGGGCTATATTCTTTTTGAATCATGTACATCTTCGAGATGATAACCGCTAAACTTAAAAATCCAGACCCATGAAGCCTAACTTAAATAACACTAATAGATATAATTAATTTGACCTTACAAAAGCATTAGTTATCTTGTAAATCATCAATGGAACATATTCATTTTTACACCATATGCTGTCCACTATGTTCTCAAAACTTTGTTATTAGTTTAGCAATTGCAACATCTGAACATTTTGCACGAACTAGGAATGTCTCATCATCCGCAAATTCTCGCACTAACTGCTATCAGGTTCATACTGTATTGCAGTTGCTCGTAAAACAAACTGATCAGAAACCCGAAAAATCGTTGTAAAAACAGAACCGATAATATCAGGCAGATTGGTTTCGATGCTTTTACCAGTTTCCTGGATTCCATTAAAGAAACCAATACTTTTACTGATAAAGCCTCCGCTAAATCACTACCTCCATTTACCTTACCTAGTTCTACCTCATATAAACCTACCTACTTCACGAGAATAACACCACCATAAGGAACATCAATGGACATTTAAGTTTCCTATTCCAGTTTCAAATTGGGATATAACACGAAATTAGCGGAAAGATACGACTTAACAGTCTTGTTGTCGAATTAAAACAAGAAGAATTAGGGGGAAGCAATCAAGTAACAAGTAACTCCGAGTTAACTCTTGTTGTGGAATTAATACAAGAAGAATTATGGGGAAGCAATCAAGAATCAAGTAACTCCAATGTCAGCTTCACCGGCTTCACAGCATTTCCACCTTCAAACTCGAGCCTTCTTAAATCAGCAAAGCATATGGATCTTTTATGGCCGCTCTTCTAGTCCCTTGCTCCTTTTCCAAATCCACTAATTCCTCCTCCAATAATGAGCTCAAAGCACCTTAACCTTCCCATTGGGTTGCATCTTGCTCATTCTTAAACACTCACCCAATTCCCATCGCCAATAGTAAATCCGAGGGTTTATCGTCATACTTTTGGTGCTGGACTTTCTACAATGAATTTGGACCGAAATCAATCAGACTGTGACTGTGAGATGAATTCACTTGTCTACATAAAATCACTATAGATTCGAGCAATGTAGATTTCAAGATCTATCACTTGACAGATTTCAACCAGCAATTGATTTTAAATTCTAACATATGGTTCTCACCGAAAAAAAATCTAGCATACGTCCTTATTATCTTTAAATCTAATCATTACAGCAATTTAACATTTTGAAATCTATCTATTCATTCAAAAACTGCATCCAAACCCCCTACACTCCTCAAACTTACACAGCCACTAGCTCCCAAAAGTACCACATAACTCAGCATACCTTACAAGTGTAATTTAGTATTTTGCAACTATCACAAAGAGTAATGTATGGTATCATCAAGACTTAATTAACAAACTTCTAGAATAGAAAGACAATCAGTTCAAGCAACTGCAGGTCTAGCAATTACCTTAAACACTGGTAGCGTGTGCATTAGCCAAAGTTAAACTTTGACTTTTTGTCAGCAGGTTTTAATACTTGAAATGAGCACATAAGTGTCTCATCAACACTCATCATGGCACCGGCATTATCAAACTCTCCACAATAATTAGGAGCAGAAAATATGGTTAGAAGCTGTCTGTTGGCAAAGAACTCGTATCCATCCTCCACAACCTGCACCAACCATAAAAGAAAATTTAAGTGAAACGGGTCGACCAAAGGCCCAGATCGCGAAGAATATCATCCACAAAGCTCCAGTGACTCTAGAAAAGAGAAAAAAGAGACACCAAATGCTAGAGGATTTTATCAGTGAAGGTAATATAGGAAAGCCTATGGATGTAAGCAAAATGAGATTGTAGGGGATAACTACCATAAGACCAATAAATACAACCAAGAATTACAAGCAGCCACAACCAAGATTGATCATAAAAGGACAAGGAAAAGTTCCTTATTGTATGTAGTTCAGTGAAGGTAATATAGGAAAGCCTATGGATGTAAGCAAAATGAGATTGTAGGGGATAACTACCATAAGACCAATAAATACAACCAAGAATTACAAGCAGCCACAACCAAGATTGATCATAAAAGGACAAGGAAAAGTTCCTTATTGTATGTAGTTCCCGTCTTAGAGGGTCAATGAGGAGCACATGATTACAATGTGGAATAACATGAACAAAAAAATTGCGACAGTAACCTGGTGAGCGCGACATATCAGATCCAAATCATGCTTCTGAAGGAACTCTGCCACCTTATCAGGACCAAAAGTAAATGAAACTCCCCTGTCATTCATACCCCAACCCTGAACGTCTTTGCTAGGATCAGACCACAGCAGATCACAGAGCAAACCTGTGTCTGGTATATCAGTTGGGCGAGCCAAATTTCTGATTTGATCCAAATTATGCAAATCTGGGGAAAGGCCACCATGCATGCAGAGAATTTTCTCATCAACTAGAGCAGCCACTGGGAGACAGTTAAAGCAATCTGTGAATGTCTTCCAAATTCTGACATTAAACCTCCTTTTACACTCATCGAAGAAACCATATATACGATTAATAGAAGCAGACTCATGGTTTCCTCTCAAGAGAAAAAAGTTCTCTGGATACTTTATCTTATATGCAAGTAGAAGACATATTGTCTCAAGACTTTGCTTGCCTCGATCAACATAATCGCCCAAAAATAAGTAGTTTGCATGTGGAGGTAATCCGCCATATTCAAATAGCCTAAGAAGATCAGAATATTGACCATGGATATCACCTGCAGATGACCAACAATGCCTATCAGTCAGGTTGAGTAGATTTTCAGGAAACTTGCGTGATTTTTTAAGTGATAGAATGATATAGAAAGAAACCAGCTAAAACAAATAACAAATAAGGCCCCAGCCTCCTTTTCCATTATTCTTCAGGATGAGAGCGTTTAGTATGGTAATTTAGGAGACATAAAAGATTATAGACCATCATGATAGAAGAATTTCAATCAATGAAAGGAGACTTTGAAGATTCTCCATTCGAAAGAAGAAGGCAGTCGTAAATTGGCAGAATGTTCTTTGCAGTAAGCATACTCTCCCCAAAAGTATTGCTTCCTCTCATGGCTAGTGATTTTGAACCGTACAGCTACAAGTGATAAGCTCAAAGAATGGGGAAGATTACAAATGATGTTTGTGTTCTTTGTGATGTGGCTTCTGAAACAAGTTATTTATTTTTCTGCTGCAAATACTCAGCATATTTTGTAGCTTCTGTCTTTGGAGGTCTGATTCAGGTCTGGCCAGCTACATGGGAGGATATGCTTCCTATGGTTTGTCAACTAGCTGAGGCTGGTGGCTGTTTGTCAACCCTGTGGAAAGAGCAGTGTCGTAGAGTTTTTGGGAGTCAAGGAAGGGACTGACAAACTCTCTTATCTCAGCTAAAGGAGGAGGTCCAGTTTTATGCTTTGGGTAACACGGATATCAGAGTAGAGATTCAAAACATTCAGTTGTTCGCTAGTGTTTCCACATCAAGCAAATGCACAACCAGAAAAGAATAGCCTCGCATGTGGAATTAAAGGTTGAGAGGAACCACATGTAATGAAAACAAAGCTAGATCAGAAACTAAAAAACAATCCAAGTTTATTCAATTGCATATGAGAAAATAATGCAGTAGTAACTAGTAAGAGTACCACAAATCTTGATGGGTGCTTCAAGCTCTAACAAATTGGGTTGTTGCAAAAAGATCTCTCGAGATGCCCCGCAGAGTTGCCTGATTTCCGCCTCGGATAACTGGACCTGCTTCCCAGGTCTACTGCGAACGTCTAAAAGCCGCCGAATAATATCATCCAAAACATCCGGTTCCATTTCCTAACCTAGCAAGTACAACCCTTCCGCTTTCTGTTTTCCTTAAACAAAGAACGGTTCATCATAAGACAAATAGAGCCACATTTACAATCAAAGAAACGCTGCAAATTGGCCATGCAAAAACTCTAATCATACGACTGATAGGCACCACAAAAATCAACATCCACACTACAACCAATCTCTTCAACAAGTGTGTCAGGGTAACAAGACCAGCTAACCCAAATCAAATTACATCAACATCTTCTCCTCTATACTGGCAATAAACACAGGAGATATGAAAGCCCAAACACTCACCTTAAGCTCCTGGCAATCGAAAATGTTAACAAACTCAGGAGCTACTCTTCAACAGGAAGACTGGAAGCTGAGGATAAAGCTGGAGATTTGAAAGACGGAAGAGTTAAACCAAAGAAATTGAGGAATATCCTAAGATACACAGAGCAAGAAATGCTCGGACAGAACAACGCCCAATAAAATCACAAAAGAAAAACTACTGGGCGAAGGTAACAGGCAACGGAAGCAGAAAAGTAAAAATAACCAGAGGGAACGAGGGTGTAGGACGAGTGACCTTAGCAACATGGAGCTAGGAGAGGGAGTTTCCTTTGAATGGAGCAGTGGCAAACGCCTTTAAGAGGAAATGCGTCGCGGAGGCGCCACAATAGCCAAGTCAACGAGTTTGGATACAGAGAGAGAAATGAGATTAGAGCAAGGAGAGCGGGAGACGGCAGCGGCGTGAGCGAGGAAGGCAACGGAGCAACCAAGGAGAAAAAAGCAGGTTCAATCGAATCGATCGAAATGGATGGAACACCCGAAAGAAAGAGTGTCGACTGTCGTCCACCGTCGACCAAAATCGACTATCTATGCCATTTCGTCCTCCGATGGTACGGGGAAACGGAGAGACTGAGCAGCAAACGCCCCACGAAGCTTCCTTCCGATGAGAGGGAGGGAACGGCCCTAAACGCTTGAGAAAGAGGATTCGATTTTGGGTTTAGGGTTTCGTTTTCTTTATTTTCGTTATTATTCCGATTCCAGTCTCCGCCCTTCCAAGTTCCAACGGTAAGTTGACGCAGTTGTGGTGTGCACGAATATATATTAGGATAAACACCTATGACATGACATAGGTGTTTGCAATTGCAAAACCAATTGCATTGATATGGCTACCAATTGCATATTTGCAAGCTGGCAACAAATGCAATTCTATATGCAAGTCAAAAAAGCCTAAAAAAATGGGGATTTTATATTATTTTCTTTTCTCTTTTACTTAATTTTCTACAATTTAAACATAATATTTAATTATATTTGCAATTGCAAGTTAATTGCGTTGATGTAGGTGAATGAAATGAATGTGATGTGGATTGCAAAAAATTTGAGCTGACAATGAAAAACACAAATACAATTTCTTTTGCAATTGCATTGATGAAGATGCTCAATAAGTCAAATTTTTTTAATTTTAAAATATCAGTTCAATTTTTTGAATTTTCAAATATGGAAAAGGATAGGGTACAAAACCTCTTTTTTATTTTTAGAAAGATTGACGCATGGTAATAAAAAAATAAAAATAAAAGATTGACGCATGAGCGCCTAATCTACGCTTATTTAAATGTGGAAATTGGGGTGGTTGTGGTTACCCACCACACATTTTGAGGGTTACCACACCCACAAATATAGAATTATGTTACCCACAACCCGCTCCGCAGTGAGTAGTGGTTAACCACTATTCGCCGTGGGTTGGTTGTGGATATCCACAAAAATTTCATGATTAAATAAAATAATATGGTAATTAAATAGTGAAGTTGTGCTTCTTCTCACACAAAATAAAAAACATACATAAAAGAAAGTTAATAAAGTGTTAAGTAAATTATAAATCTCGAGTACAACAGGTTTGTTAGTGTAAATTCAGAAGAGATGGATCTGGAAAGAGATTTAAAGACAACAGAGAGGCGGAGTGACCTGTTACCAGACAAACATCGTTACATGTCACGGCTCCTCTAATGGCAACGACAACAAAACACAAAAGTGGCTCGATAAGTGGATGCACCCGCTTTTAATGAATCGATTATTTTCCACTCTCGATTATAGTCTTGTATTGTTGGTAGCTAGTTTTATGTTGTGTTGTTCGTGAGTTCGTGGAGAAATGGAGACGAGTTTGGGTATCGAACTAACCTTTATCGATTATTCCTCTCTTCTAACGAATCTATTAAGTTATCTGACTATATCTATGAACTTGGTTTTGTTATAAAATAAACATATATCACACGGACAATGCTTATTTGGTAAAAGTATTTCACCCGAACATTGCATATTGACTTGGTTTTGTTTTATAGAGTAAGTACATATTTGATTTTAGTAGCTACCTGAATTCTTAGTCTTCCAAGTTTCACAAACTAATATAGCTAATGTGGTAATGTGGGTTTTGTGGATAAACCACTGTGGGTAGTGGTTAACCACTAACCACAAAAATCAATATTTTGCTACCCACACCCAATCCACAATCCACAAATTGTGGGTATGGGTATCCACAAAGTGTGCGGTTTGCGGGTTACCCGCAACTCGCAAACCAAACTTCCACCCCTACGCCTATCTATCTAACTAACAAAAAAAAAAAAAAAAACAACCTATGAAAGCAAAAGTGTGAAAAAGAAAAAGGGAAACTTACAACAGACAAAATAACTAATGGGAACATAACAAAAGAAGATAGAATACGAGAAAGAAAATAAGACATAACTAAACGTAATACACAACAATAAGATAAAACACACAAAAATTATACAAACGACTAGAGTAGTAGTTATAGACTTTTCCTAATAACCTAAGAATTCTCCAACAACGGTGCCAAAAACTTGGTGAAAGCTTTAATGATTTGTAAGCTCGATCGATACAACACTAACAACTTCAATACGTGGCAAGTATAACTCAAATTGGCGAGGTAGTATAGCGGTGACTGAGATCGTATTCCAGGCAACCCTAGATTTGATATTTCTTCGCCCTAAACTACTATCTAGTTAAATAGAAAGATTGGATTAAGAACTGACCCAACCTAACCTAGCTAACTAGACAACCAACCAAGTGGTTGAGAGGACACTACAGACAAGATGGTTGTCTAGGAACGAATCCTTCTTGTGGTAAAATAGGGAGTCAGTTGAGTTTTATGGTCGTTTCGAGGTGCAGAGGTCATTTAGGTGGGAATCAATACAATGGTCAAGCCATCGATCCCCCTCCTAGCCAAGTCCAACGGCCCATTGTCACCTCAACCAATTTTTGGACTATGTGTAGATTCTACCTTCTCCAAATGGGTTTTACCAGTCGGCACACAAAGTTCTCGAGTCGATTGTCATGCACTCGAGTCCTGAGCATCACCTAGGTGGGCTCCTAATTAGAAGGAGATGGTCACCTCATCCGCCAAACCTAGATCATCCAACCTATGCTAGATACACTAATTAATACATAATAAGAACTAACCTAGGGCTAATTCAAGAAACATACATAATTATGCATTTAGACCACAATTAGAAGCATAAATACACTTATGAACACAAAACATACTATAAATTTTATTCAATCTATAAACCCTAGTTACATACTAAAATTCATCTAACCGAAACAATCATAGGGCTTTCAGTCATATGGAAAGAGAAGAAATACAAACGAAGAAGAGGGGGAATGCTAGAATTAATCTGATTCTTCTTGGATTGCACCTTCTCCTAGACTTCTTAGGTGGATTCCTCTTCCTTAACCTCCTCCAAGGGTGTTTCGCTCTATAAAACTACCATAAAAACCTAATTTATCATTATAGAATGACTCTCCCTCGTAATAAGGGTATCCTCATATTTATAGGCAAACATAGATGCATGCAAGTTCGCGGCCATGCATAAGAGTTTGCGACCGTGAACATTCTTCGTGGGTCATGATATTCAAATGCTACTGTCTTGGATTTTGCTGGAGGTGAGTTCATAGGATTGGGTTCATGGCCGCGAATTGGGAGTCGTGGCCGTGAACTTTGTTACATGCTCGGATGTGAAGGATTGTGACCCGGAGAGCGAGACCTTCCGTTTCTTCTTGTTTGCTGTCCTTCTTGAGATCGCAACTCATCGGTTTAAGATCGCGGCCGCAAAAATCTGAGCCTAGTCGGGATCTTTTCGTTGCCTCTGGATTTCTTGGCTGAGATCGGTCGTGAACTCTGATTTTGTCTCATTTCCCCTTATTTCCTACACATGAGCCACCTTGCTTCGCCTTTTTCACTTGTTTCTTTAAATGCAATGTAAACAGACATGAATTGATGTGAGAAAGCATTGCAAGCTACAAATGACGCGAAAACACCTAATTAAGAAATGAATGATAAATAAAACCAATGATGTTATCAATATTACTTCATGTTCCAGTCTTGATTTCACTATAAAATATGTGGACCTTAAAATCCTAATATTCATTATTTTAATCCTTAAACTCTTACGATTTTCAAGGATTATAACATTTTAACACTTTTTTCCTTTTCCTCCTCCTTCATCAACATCATCTAGTTCTTTCTCACTAACCATCGCGACCATCATCAATTCATGTCAACTCATTAATCATCACCATTCACCACTTCTCAACATTAACCTTGAGAAATTGGAACATTAACCTTGAGAAACCATCATTTTATGTGTTATGTGTATGTTTGTTATTCATGATTTGCTTTATTAATGTTATTTATTGTTTGTTTTTATATGGACCTTAATAATCCTATCATTTCACGATTACGATTTATCTAAGTTTTTTATTTTATGTAAACTCTCAACATTGAATGCATTGGAATTTGGCTGCTGTTATATCCTATCAACTAGACATGTTTTTTTTTCATGAGTCAACACTACTACTACTACTCCTGCCACTGCAAATGTTGCCCTTGCTCTAACAGAAGAAGAGTTTTCTTCTTCGTCAAAATGATGCAAACGACGCCGTTGAAGAGAATGGAGCGCCGTGGAACACGTGGAACGCAGAGACTGGAGATTTTTGTTTTACCGTTTCTAGCCGTTGTCTTATTCTATTTTTACTGTTTTCCGAATTTACTGTGTAAAGGACACAGCTGTGTTTTGTCCTGTGTTCTGAGATTTTCAATATAAACAGAGGAAGAAGAGAGAAGCAGCTAAGCTTTTCGATTCATTGAAACCAAAACCCTAAATCTTCAATATGGTATCAGAGCCTGGTTAGGCTTCTGAGACCTAACCCGCAAACACCCACCGCCGCTTTCCTCTTCTTCCTCCTTTCCTCTCTTTGTTTTTCGTTTTTCTTCCTTTTCTCAAATTCAGTGTTTGATCAAGAGTTTTACCAACAATGACGGACGCACAAGAAGCATCCAATGCATCTGCGGCAGCCGTCGCCAACATCACGACATACCCACTCACAGATCCCTACTACCTCCATGGTTCAGAGCAGCCAGGACACTCACTGGTCTCACAGAAGCTCACACCAACCACCTACACTGACTGGAGTGCGGCGATGATTGATGCCCTAGCCTCCAAGAACAAGTTAGGATTCGTTGATGGAAGCCTTCCAGAACCAGCAGCAACAGACAGACTGCACGGACCATGGATTCAATGCAATTTCATGGTGAAGAGCTGGATTCTCCAGTCGGTTGATGAACTCATCAGTAAAAGTGTTCGGAGTCTCAAGACAGCACCAGAGGTCTGGCAAACCCTAAAGTCAAGGTATGCACAAGGTGATTTGGTTAGAATAGCAGAGTTACAAGAACAGCTCGCTAACCTCAAGCAAGGTACCAGAACCCTTAGTGAGTATCATACCCATCTGATTACTTTATGGGAAGAACTTAAGAACTACCAGCCAGTCCCAGATTGCAATTGCACTCCTACTAGTCACTCAGGATGTCTAGCTATAGCAACAATCAAGGGATATCAGAACATGAATCTGATTATCCAGTTCTTAAGAGGTCTCAATGAAAACTATGCTATACCTAGGTCACAAGTTCTGTTTTCAGATCCATTACCAACAATGGACCAAGTATATTACCGAATGGCTCAACATGAAAGGCAAGTCTATGGTAGTCAAGATGGTAACAA